GTGTGTGTGTGTGTGTGGTGGTGGTGGTGGTGTGTGTGTGTGTGTGTGTGTGTGTGAGACAAGTGCCCTGCGGTCTCTTCCAAGAGGCCTCTAATACCGCCTTTGGAAAGGGATTTCACTTTCCTGGCATTGAGATCCACTGCATCCAAACCAAACCTTTCTTGACGAGGAGATATCAGCAAGGCCGCTCCTGCGGTCCAAATATAACCGTCCGAGTCTGGACTGGAAAGAGCAATCTCTCTGACCCCCGCCCCCCCACCCCGGGCCGGGACTGGCTCCTGCCTTTTAATCCTCTCTGTAATTGTCCGTAAATGCGTTAAGGTGCAAGAAAATCACTGCTGGATTTTCAAGACTCTGGAGCCAGAATCAGTTGGAATTGTGTTTCTCCAGTTAAGGTATTTGATACCTGGTGTTACTTTGTTTTTGTTTAGTCGAAACTTCCTGAACAGAAGAGATTTGTGCAGTCTGTGTTTTCTTGCTCACGATAAGACTTTGTAAGTTTTCCCCCACACATTCAAAATGTTGAAGACAGGCCAGGCCAGCCCGACCTGCCCTCCCCCAGTGCCCCCACGTTGTTAGAATGGTGACTTCTAACTCTCATTCTCCAAGGAAGGGAGAATGTGCACCGAGCCCTCTTCCCAAGACCATTTGTAGAGCAGGGCTGCCTTTTTCATTCTTAGCCTCTTCTAGATCTTACAGCACCACCCTCACCCCCCAGGCCGCTGCTGTCTCCCTTTGTTTTCTCTGTGGTGTTGATCCTGTCTGCTGTTATCAGATTTGTTTAGGAGCCCAAGCTGCCCTTCAGTGTTTGATCTTGGCATTAGCGATTTGTTATCTTGTTTACTTACCTGTATGGTTATATAGTTTTTTTGATCACCAGTCTTCCTGCTCCTCCAAAAAAGGAATAATAATTTCTGTCCTGCCTGCTGTGTTGCATCACAGAGGCAGTGAAGGCTCAGGAAAAATTAGGGCTTTGATCGTGAGCTTTTGATCCATATTTGATTTACAGTAGCTTACCAAGAATGGTCACAATGGAGTGGGTATGGTGTCACATGCTTGTGATCCCAGCTGCTTGGGAGGCTGAAACAGGAGAACTGCAAGTTTTGAGCCCAACTTGAGCAACTCAGTGAGACCCTGTAACCACTCCCCGCCCACAAAAAAAGATAAAAGAGACTGGGTATGTAGCTCAGCACTCCCACTGAACTGTTTTGGGTTTTTTTTGTTATGTTTTTTGTTTGTTTGTTTTTTTAAAGATAGTCTGTTCTATGGTTTCTTCACTTGAGAGCATTAATTAAATTCTGGTTTCTCTAAACCTACTTGGCTTGTGGCCCTTCTGTATTTCCTTTAGGCATCCGACCTGCTAGGGTGGCTGTGCTCTGGGCATAGATCTGTGACAAGACTCGTGTTTGTCCCCAGCCCCAATTGCCACAGCACATATGTTTCTCAAAATCTTCCTGTGTCTGAGGCATTTCCTATTCTATATTCTCTATTTCCCCTCTGTGATTTGACTGTCTCGTCTTTCCTTCTCTTGCTTCACAATTTCTGATTTTTCATGGGTCCCTGTTCTTTTTACCAAGATAGATTTTGGAAAGGACATCGCTCCTACAATTGTCAGTGTGTTTTAGTGTGCGCCTGTCCTAGTGATTGCTATATCAGCTGCATTAGCTGAGTTTGATTTAAATCCCCAACTGTACCCTGGTAATTTCCTATGAATAAATTGGAATCCCTGACTTTAAATTATCTAGGTCAGAAAGAAGAGCTGGAAACATTTTTCACTATTTTGGGCATTTTCTAGAGTTTAAACCAAATGCTTGGTGGAGGGGTAAATGGTTTCCATTTATGTCTCTACAAAGCATTAGCCCTTGGGATGGTTATTAAAACAGAGGTTTTGTTTAAGGATCAGCTTTCTTTAGTATTTATTTCCTAGTGTTGAATCTTGACGGGAGTGTGGAAGCATGGAGGGCAGGAGGGAGTCCAGATGGAATGCTCAGGTGGGCATTTCAGGCTGGCAAGCGGAAGGAATCCTCTCTGGTCCTTTTAGAAGTATTTGGTTTTAAAATAAGGGACTTGTTGCAAAGGGGCCATAAGGATGTAGGCGATGTAGAGGTGCATACACTTGGAACACTGAAGAGACTAGAGAGGAGGGGGCATTGAAAGTGTGGTTATTGAAATCAGCTGTCTTTAATCAAGAGTGGAATTAGCAGGAGCAAAAAAAAAAAATTTTGTAAGGAACAAAACTGAAGAGATCTCATTGCTTTAGATTTCTGGGTTCCAGGTGGTTCAGAATGCAGACCAGCTCACATTCTGTCTTGTCCCAGGGTAAAGGGGTGGCTAATTAGAATGCTCTGTGCTTTGTGTCAGGGAACATTTTCCTGCTTCCCTCACACCTAGGTTACTATTTCCAAAAACTATTTATGGAGCAACTGTGTTGCCTTCACTCTGCTGGATGGTATTGAGAAGGTGTCCTTGAGAATCCATTGTCCTTCGGGGGTAGCAGAGATGAGAGAGGCCATGAACCTGCGCGCTTGCGTGATTTCACTTCAGCAGAGACGCGTGCCACAGCCATGCGGGAAGGAGCAGGGAAGAATCTAGGTGCGGTTCTCGAGACCAGGACAGTTTTTCAAACCACAGGTAACTCAGAGCAGAAAGGGTGAGAAAACGCTTTAAGGCAGAAAGCACCTCAGTGCAAAGTGAAGGGACCTGGTTCAGCACAGCTATTTTGGGGAAATGGCTGCAAACAGAGCTGCTTGGCCTGCTTGGCTTTGAGGACGAGGTGGAGGAAGAGGGAACTGCAAGCGTGACGTGGAGTCAGATGAGCGTGGGGTGGGGCAGAGCCTTGGAAGGGCTTTCCAGAGGGTTGCAAGTGGACTTTGGATCTGTGACTTTGGAAAAGTGTCCTGGAGCTCGGTGCTGGCTTAGAATCATGACTGGTGTTAATGAATAAGAGGGACCCTCGGCAGAGCAATCCTGTAATGAACCAAATCCAAGGCGGCATTGATTACACGACACGTTAGGATGTCAGGGGAATTAAAGTACACAACAAAAAACTCTTAAAAGAATTACAGAGCCAGGTGCAGTGGCAGAGACCTGTTATTTCAACAGAGGGAGGCTGAGGCAGGAGGATGGTAAGTCCCACATTTTTAGAGAAAAAAGTGTATATATGTGTGTTTGGGAGGAAAACAGCTTTTAAACTATTTTATAATATGGATATATTGCCTTTTCATTTGAAGAAGACAATCAAGAAAAAAATGGAGTTATATGAATAAGAACAAAGAGAGAAACAACATCAAATCCTTAGGCTTCATGAAGGGAGATAAAGCTGTCAGCAGGAAGCACAGAAATGACCCAGGAAAGGGAAGGAAAAGGGAAGACTGGAAAGTTCTGCAGTGGCTGAGAAAGGGAGGCAAGCAGATGATCAGAGAGACAGGAGGTGCGCAGCCGAGGACTAGAAGCCAGATAACCTGGGGGATGAGGAGCAAGACTTGCTTGCTCTGGGTTCCCATGAGTCTAGAGCCCTAGCCAGGTGAATGGCCCGGGTACTGTCTGCCAGGACAAAACACAGAAGAATAGCTTTGGGAAATGTATAGATTGATGAATTCAGTTTTGAGCATATTAAGTTTGAGGCACTGGTGGGCAATAAAAGTATCTGGAAGGCAGTTGGCCATATGTTTGAGGAACGAAGGATGTGTGACATTAAATGCTAGAAATAGCATTTAAACCACAGGTGAGGATAAAATTGCTCAGAAAGAGATATATAGGCAGCCAGGCATGGTGGTGCTTGCCTGAAATCCTGCCACAGGAGGCTGAGGCAGGAAGATCACAAGTTGAAGGCTAGCCTGGGCTACTTAGCAAGACCCAGACTTAAAAAATAAGAAGGGCTAAGGGTGTAGCTCAGTACTTATTGGACTCAATTCTGTAGGGCAGGGGGCCGTGGAAGGGACAGAGGCTGAACCCACATTTACCAAATAGAAAGAGGGAAAAGAAACCTATGGAGGAGACCTGGAAGGATAGCTGGAGGGGAAGAGAAACACTGCTGGACCCCATGTCATAGCAGCACATGAGCAGGAGGAGGAGCAGCTCGCTGAGGCACTGCCAAGGTAGATGAGATGAGAAACAAGAACAGAGCTCACTGTCTGGGCAGCGGGCCGATCAGATCGGGAGCAGTTTCAGGGGGAAAGTGTGGGAGAAAGGCCAGGTCACCAGGGGCTCTGTGGTGAGGAGGTAGAGACAGGTAGATGAGAGAGAGACTCATCCATGAAGGAAGCAGAGAAGAAGAGTCTGGAGAGGGGGCTACCTGAGCAGATAATGTAAGATTTTTTTGTTTCAGAACAGATATGATTGTGTCTGTGTGCTGAAGGAAAAGAGATAGGAAAGGATGTTTTAAAAATAGAAAAAGAGGAAATAAATGATGAAGGGGGACTGGGGTAGGGCTGGAGTTGAGAGTTCAGGTAGAGGGATTCCCTGGGACAGAACTAGAGAGGGAGGTGCATCCCTCCATTAGGACCGGGAGAGAGAGAGAGGAGCAAGAAGTGGTGGCACCATCTGTAAGCTAGGTCCTGGGGCAGGGGAGAGGCAGGAGGATCACTAGGTCAAGGCCAGCTGGGCAAATGAAATTGTAAAAAAGAAGTGGGGGTGCAGGAGAGGCAACAGAGAGAGAGAGAGCAGGAAGGAGAGG